TGTTCTTCAATGCATCTTTAAGCAATTTTTCTATCTGAACGACTTCAGATTGCAAGCCTTGGATTTCTTGCACAAGAGTCTCTTTTGGATTTTTAGATTCCTCTTCCACAATCGGATGATCTGTCAATTCATATGAGGCGGGACCTTTCTTATTGTTTGGATCACCCACAGCATCCTTTGTTCCAAGCAAGTGGGCAGTCTTTACTCCAGGCAACAGTGTTATATTTTGAGCAAACTCTAGACCATTGGGCTTGCACGTCATTATTATAGCATTCATATCAAATAATGCGCTAAAAACAGCATCCTTATTTTGGCGAGCTTCTTCAACCGATTCTATGAGATAGTTATCATAATTGAATACTGCCAATGCACAAGGAAGTCTGGTCAATATTTGATACAACGATGACCCGTCTATTCTTAAGGCATGTAATGTAGAACCAGATGGCTGCGGACAAAACTTTCTGTAAAACTTCTTGTAGCCAACATACAAAAGAGCATTATTCGCTAGGATGCAAAATGGTAATTGATGAGCTATGACGAACCGTCCTTTCTTTGGAATATACGGCTTCAAAGCATTCAAAATCAACAGGCAAGGATATGCTTCTTTTTCTTCAACGTCATAACATTCCTTTTTCAGGTCGTCGATACTGAATGCGTCTTTTCTATCATTGAGAAGTAGGCTTTTCAGAGCAGATTTTAAACAGCGTAATCTCCTTCTTGTTAAATCTGTGGTGTTGCCTGGATCAGCTCTTCTTCTTCTACGTCATCCTCGTCATAATTTTTACTGGCGAGTTGACTTTTTTCTGCAACAGTGCTCTCAGTTCTTACTATATTGCTCCTTTCGACTTTCCTAGCCTGTGAAGCAAGAACGTTACATTATCAATATCTTGTAGCACAAAAATAAGGTATCTTACCAAAACAGCCATTTTATATCCATCAATCCTTTTTTGGTACGTATCGACTTTAGCTTTCCATTTGTGAGCTTCTTCAGACTTTCTTTTTATTTTTGCTTCATGCTTTTTTTCCTTGTATTCTTCGTCTCGTACAATATTCTTTCTTGCATTCCTAGGAAGATTGGCAAAAATAGATGTCCTGCTGTTATCGTCTACTGACTGTTGCGAGTCTTTCTTTAATCTTTCTTCTGTTCTTTTCTGGATATAGCTTCTGTATTTGGCTTCTCGATTAGGCGCCAAATGTACTCGTAACAAAACATCCAGTAAACTGTTCATCAAGCCATAGAAGATTTTTGGCGTGCTCCACATATTTTTCATGTTTGTAGTAACATCAACAAGAGCATTTACCATTTCATGAGACTTTAATGATGTTTCTTTAAACTTGCCTCGCTCTATTCCAGATGATTCTAGGGCCATGAAGATGGCCATCTGAGCCGGATGCTTGTTTAGGTTTGTCTCTTTCGCACCAACTGAGTCAAAGTAGTAAGAATGTATCAAACCAATGTGCTGATGTTCCATAAGCATGCTAAAGCCCTTCGTAAAAGAATCTGCTACGGGAAGAGGGCCAATGGTATGCTCTATAGTACAGTCTTGACTGGGTAAAAAGCCATCTGGGAGTATATTTGCGATATTAAAAGAGCCTTGTATGATCATATCACAATTTCGTAACTCTAGCAGAACCATATTCATTATGAACGTGATGTTTATAATGTAATCAGATACTTGGGTAAGAGTGCTCTCAAGTTTTTCCAAAACAGCTTGTTTTATCTCCAGCGGTAAATCTTTTCTGATAATTCGGTTTACCGCCACGCTACAAGTTCTATACTCTATATCGGTAGAATGAACCTCGGGTTCTGTACCATCGTGTTTCCCTTCTGTTACTTCTTCCCTTAAATTTCTTGCTATAGAATGAAAGTTTCCTTTAACGTATTCTTTAAAAACTACATCATTCTTTTTATGGAATTTTTGTCCAAATAATCTCTCAGGATAGTAGGTGTACAGCTTGCATACATTGCAGCTTGTGTCAAGACACCCCTTGGTAAGGTTTTGATATTGAGCAACTTTTGTTCCAACTTGTTCAGATCCCTTTCCACATTTTTGCTTTTTTTAGTAGTGGAGTCAACGGTGGCCTTTATATAATCATGAATAGAACGCAAGAAGCTGTTGTATAAGAGTTCAGGAGATTCTGGTACAAGACATGGTCTTTTTAAGGAAGAATTCTCAGAGCTTTCGCTAGCAGTACGCCTCAAGTTTTGCCGTAGAATTGGAATCTTTATTATGTTAGCGCCATCAAAATAGCTTTTCTGTTCAGTATGTTTCATTCTAGGTTATAAAGTGTTTGAGCTATAAGAAATTCTCACAGACTGTTATCCTCACTAACCTGATGATAGCTTTCAGAGACTATTGAAGGCAAGAGAAAAAAGAAAAATAAAGCTGTTGCTGATATCCTTGGCCGTGTCAAAGCTTGTTTACCACAGTGATGTTGTCACATGCGTTAGATACAGTGAAATGACTCATTTTCTTAAAGTAGAATATCTCTACAATATGAAATTAGCAGTATCATCTCCATATACTCTGACTAGGCGATATAAGCTTTTCTACTAAGGTGAATATTATGCTATATTTTTATTCAAATGGGTAATACTAGAGACGCTGCAATAGGATACTGCAAGATTCAAAAAAGGAAATCTCACAGTTTATTTCAGGAGATCATACGAGTTTTTAATTACAGCCACGCTTCCTGTAATGAGGCAGATTAACAGATCATTGGTGCAGCAGGCCTTACAAAGCCTCATGCTTATACAGTGAAACAAATCTGATAAATAACGCCAAATTATATTTCACGGCAAAGATGACCTTGGTCTTCATTTGGGGCAGAAAACCTTTCTTGCTGAGCAACAGGGGCAGGAGCATGAGGAGAAAAAGGCAGCTTGGTTACGCGGCTGACCAAAAAAATATGCTTACACATCTTTGTTTGATCAGGGCAGCTGCAGTTCTTCAGAGAGTCTTCTTTGGTATCATCTCGTAGAAGAGGATGTTTTCAGTGAAGGATCTGCACTGGTAAACACTTTCTTCGAGCTGTTCTACTATGGAACAGGCTACGTCGTAGTCAATACAGTATGCTGCTCTTCTCTTCTTTTCTTCGTTGGCTGTCAAGCGAAACTCACCAAAAGCATGCACGGCTTTGCTTGTATCCTGCCAATAATCTAATGCTACCACTTGGGATAACAAGTAGTCTAGATGATCTACACGCAAAGAGCGAGAACGACCAAGATAGAACGTCTTCAATTGGTTATGATACGATTCTATCAGATTGTTAGTGTGGAAATAAGCATTCTATGAATAGACAGAAAAGTTAGATTTTAGTAAACTGGAACAATAAACACCAATGATTACCTATCTCCACGCTTTGGACCACAATTCGTTTCTTGGAAGCCACAATCTGTTGAAGTACGCAAGGAACAGCTGACGGGCCAGATCGAATGCTTTCGACGTTTCTGAGTACATCATGCTATTCAGATTAGCGCAAACACGATCTCTTACCAGCTTTGTGTCGTGAGTAGACTTGCTTATTTTCACCTAAATGTTACAAGATGTTTAATATCAACATTAAACACACGTCTAAAACTTACGCCTCGCTTGACGTGGGTTTCCCACGCACGCTTGATATGCCAACGGCACAAGAGAAATTCGAACAGAGCCTTCAAATGCATCTCTAATTGCAGCTGCCTCGACGGAACTACAATCTATCATAATTCGCTCCACGTTCAAAGAGAAGTTGATCTTTATCCAGGTTAACCACTGATGCAAAGTAGGAATGGTTTTCATATCAGTGATGAAAAAACAAACAGGTAGACCTCTGTTCGTGGTGTAGTTGTGAACGACGATAGTGAACAGGTAGCTATCATTGGAGCTGTTCGTAATAGGCTTGCATGTTTTGTGAGTGCTATCAATACAACATTCTTCAGCTTCTTCAAGGAATTTCTTCTGCCAATCAGATACCCATGAGATTAGGAAAGGACCATTTTCATGGGTACGAAAAAGCGTCGAACAGTTTTTTTCTTCTTCTAAATACTTTATTCACTTTTCACAACTATGCTTACTGCGACAACTTTTTCTTAATAGCTTATTCATGTGAGCATTGATGATGTTCTTTACATCTTGGTAATTGATTAAAAGTGACATAGGGAAGCTACTGAATGACTTCTTCTTTTCAAGCTTAGAAAGTTAAATTATTATCGTGTTTAATAACAGTACAAGGATGAAAACAAGCATCATTATCTCAATGAGGCGTTCGTCATCAGTACGTAAAAACTTCTTGATGATTTTCTAGTCCATATTTTTGCTGACCTTTTCAGCTATCCATTGTTTGATCTCAAAAGGCAAACGAGAATTCGTAATTTCCTTGATATCCCAAGGACAGTGATCAGGATGCTCCCAGTGGTACTCAACATGGATTGTGCCGTCCGTCAGGACATATTTAATGATTTTGGCAGTGCAACCTACCTTGATAGAAGACTTCATAGTAATACGGATCTTCTTAGGACGTATAACCTCTAGTTCGTTACTGCTACTACCTTGATCATTATCTACAGAAGATACAACGTTAGTATTATCAATAGCACCTGTGCTATCCTTAGCTTTCTTCTTATCGACACCAGCATGATCACACAAATAGAAGGTGGTGTGAACTGGAGATTGCTTACAACGGATACTGTCGTTTAAATACCCACTTAGCATGCGAGAACGTGTCCTTTTTGAACCATTCCTCGAACTTATCAGACGTAGTAATGATGGTCTGAGCACTTTCCTCATAATCTGAAACAGTAGGGCAAACAAAATCAGCAGTAATAGAGATGGAGATATTTTTAAAGTTAGCAGACATTTCAGTAGATAATGTATATTTAATAACTGTGTGAGCTGTTATGGATAAAGGGTCATTAAATATTGTACGTGGCTGTTTTTCTACAGGGCGATTTAACGTTATTCAGTTTGGTCAGAGGCGGTCATTTAAATCATGATGGCTCGAAATGGCCGGGGATTAATTCATTGTCATGATGCATCTTTACAGAATTAAATGCATAAAAGCTTCGTAGTACAAGTGCATAAAAATGCCCTAAAGAGACATTAGCATGAAAAAGAGTTTTTTACTTTTCTTCTTTTTCTTTCTTTCTGGAGATTCTCTCCCTTATTGGGGCATACGAGATGGATTTACAAAGGATCTCGAACAGGGCGTTTTTTTTGTTCATTCTAAGTAAACGATCTTTCCCTCCCAATCAAAACGTAATAATTTGTCAGTCAGTCGTATATCTTTGCATGTCGTTCAGCTTGTTATTTGATCTCATACGACTTATCGCTTTCTCTTTTATTCATTTAAACTATGGATTTTAGTGTGTAAATTAGATAGAATATCATATAAGGCATACATGTCATGTTCTATGTTGAATAAAGGTGTCAGTAACATAAACTGACTAATCACAATAATAATTACAAATCTATATACTCATTTTTAATATCTTTATTCTTCTAAATAAAAGAAATATAAAGAGGCTATTACAGATTCCTCGAAACATGCTTCTCTTATACTTCAGTGCCATACACTGTGCTGATGTTGTGTGCCTAATGCTTACGTCACAGGGTGCAAATGCAGATGTGCAAAACATCCCAATCAAGTTGAAATAACTTGTCCAGCCAATCGTATATTTTTCCAATTGCATGGTTAAATGTTTCGATGTCATTCAGCTTGCTATTTGGTAAATGATGAAATATGAATTATCGCTTAAATTTAAAGACGTCCCCCCTTGTATCGAATTGGATGTTGATACAGTGTCCTGTTCCCCAATTTACAGCATGTGAAAATAAGGAAAATAAAAGAGGACAGCGGCAAATTAAAAAAAATGCACTGTGGGAAATTACGATGACTTTTGACTTTTGACTTTTTTCTTTTTGACGCGTAATGAAAGAAAACATGGGATGTCTTGTTTCGCTTCTTATCAAATTGAAAGACGTCAGAATATGATCAATAAGTAACGAAACAGCCTAAAATAAACCGTCTATCTGAGTTCAATAAACCCTACCTTACCCGAAGTGACATCGTTGCCGACCCCGCATTTACTAAAAGGTATAAAAAAGGAAATCGGACGCTGTTCTCTCTTTTATTTTCTTTTATTTTCTCGTTTATTTATTTATTATACAACTTCTTCGTAAACATGGTCTCTGAAAAACTTGATGCTATTCGCGTTGGTACTGGTGAAGATCTTATCACATTAACTCGTTGGGTTATCTCACAACAACAGGTAAGCATTGCAGTACCATGTTCCAAGTCTGGGGTACTCATAACAGATAACAGCACGCACCCGAAGCGACCGGTGATCTTACGTTACTGTTGACCGCTATTCAATTTGGCTGTAAATTTGTTGCTTCTAAAGTTAGACAAGCTGGCCTCGTTAATCTGTAAGTTTATTGTTTTTTTAATGTTCATTATTTTAATGTTATTCAGCTTGGGTTTGACTGGTGCAGCTAATGTTCAAGGCGAAGATGTTAAAAAGTTGGACGTTCTTGCTAATGATATCTTTCGTAACGCATTAATTGGATCCGGAAAGGCATGTTTACTCGTGTCTGAAGAAGATGAAAATGCAATGATTATTGAAAATAAGGAACAACGTGGTAAATACGTTGTCACTTTTGACCCCTTGGATGGCTCTTCTAACATTGACTGTGGTGTCTCTATTGGTACCATCTTTGGTATCTTCAAAGTCGTAAGTTTTTTCTATTTGTTTTTTTGTGCATCATCAGCGGTTACTTAATATTTTTGCATAAATAGAGAGACCAAGAGAATCCAAGCATCAAGGATTGTATTCGTAGCGGCCGTGACTTGATTGCTGCCGGCTACTGCATGTATGGTTCCTACGCAGAACTCATCTTGGTAAGTTCATGTTTTATATATATGTATATATCTTTTTATTCATTTGCCCTCCTTAGTCTGTCGGTAATGGCGTCAATGGTTTCACGTTGGATCCTTCTATTGGTGAATTTATCATGACACATCCTAATGTAAGCTGGAGAAAAGATCCATGCTGAATCAAGCAAAGTCTCACTGTTAATTTTAGATCACTTTGCCTCCTCGTGGTAAAATTTACTCTGTTAACGAGGGAAATTATAAATACTTTGATGAACCAAGCAAGAAATACGTTGACCATGTCAAACAAAAATACAGTGCCCGTTATGTAGGTTCCATGGTATCTGATATTCATAGAACTTTATTATATGGTAAGTTTATTTGTGTGTGTATGTGTGTCAATTCTGGACTTGAACTTATTGTTCATCAGGTGGTATCTTTGGTTACCCTGCTGACTCAAAGTCAAAGAAAGGAAAACTTAGAATCTTGTATGAAGTATTCCCCATGTCCTACTTGATTGAACAAGCAGGTGGTAAGGCAACTACTGGTAAAGAAAACTGTTTAGACCTTGTACCTGAGCACATTCACGATCGCTCTGGTATCTGGCTTGGTTCAAAGGAAGATGTTGAAGAGTTGGAATCATTCTACAAGAATCATTCATCATAAATAAAATTTATTGTGTGTTAATGTGTGTATATGCTGTGTGATGCTGTTTATGTGTGAATGCAAAAGAAGACAAAATGAATTATTCTTCTATTTCTGTAAGATCAGTAAAATTTTCTTCTATTTTTGTAAGATCAATAAGCTGTTCTTTTTCTTTGTTAAATGCTTCAATGGCTAAAACAATGATTGTCAGCTAGTCCCTTTTCTTTTTTCTTGCCTTTTTACCTGGTGCCGTTCTATTGGTCTTTGTTTCCATTTCTATCCGTGTTTGTTCGATCACGCTTTTGATAGAGTATTAGCGTATATTAAGCAGAAAAGTATTTTATTACCTTTGCGGTACACCAATTTGTATAGCATGCATAAGAACGTACTCCCATTCCATTATCTTTCCATTCTGTGATTCATGTATATTTGCCATATTCTCCAACAATTGATCAATCAACTGTAGAACCAAATCAGTGATCAACCCTATGTTTTGTTTACAATGAAGCGCAACGTAGTCTTGTATCATATTGTACGCTGTATGGTTCATATGTTCATCCTTTGAAGTGTCATGTTCACAATTATGTCGTAGATCGTCTATAGTAACTGTTGGATCCCATTCCACTAGTTCATATTCTTTGTTGATACTTCCAGACACTCTTGTTACTCTCTTTTCTTCTAATGTTGTTGTTCCCTTGTATTTTAGTCTAAAAAGAAAAAGGATCAATAATCTACCAACAAAAACACCAATGAACAAGTACTCTGTTTTGTCATGTAGATTAAACGCTGGCCATGTATATTTTTTTTTATATATTTTCTTTAATAACAATACTCGAGCCTTTCTTTTTCGTATCTTTCGATATATCTGACACGATGTAGTTGCTCTTTTCACCAGAGTCGCAGCATGTTTCATTGCAAGAAAAGTAAAAAAAAAGACAGTCCCCTTTGAATCGCGCCTTTTTCTTTTTATACATACAGTTGATCCAATAAATTATGTCGTCCAATCAGAAATAAGCTTTCGCTGCCATAGGAATAAAATGTCCTCTCTTAGTTTTTTTGAGGAAGCTTTTGATTATCTTTATCTTATAATGTCTATTGTAATCTTACGAGATGAAGGACTCTTTTTTTTATGAAGATGGACAAAACAATATTTATAATGAAAACGGTCAATCAACGTATGATCCTATGGAAGATGTCAACTATCAACGATTCCAATATAGCTTTTGAAACTTTGGTTAATCATTCTTCTTATATGAAGAATAAGCCATTGGAAAAACAACCAACTGAAAACAAAAAGTCAACTACTTTAAAGCCAGTGAAAATTGCCTCAAAGAGGACAAATGCAGACTATAGCATTACAGAGGACGACGTTCATCGATTATATGATCGAATTACCTGTGGGATAGAGATATGCCGCTGTGGTCGGGAGAGAATTAGGTATCGAAGAACGAACTGCTCAACGATGGTGGGGAAGCTACGAAGAGACTGGCGAAGTGCCAATCAAAAAATTAACCAGAAATCCAGGTCACTCAAACAACTTCACAGAGGAACACAAAACTCACGTCTTGGACCTCGTTGATGACGATCCACAGGTTACTGTTTGTGATGTAGTTGAAAGTCGGACTAAATCCTCTGAGGATTTTTCGCTTACAAAATCAATCATTCATAAGCACATGAACGAAACTTATAACCTGTCAGTCAAAAAACCACATTTCGAATCTGAGAAACGCAATAGTCTTGAAAACCTGCAGGAGAGATATGAGCGGTTTATGAAATGGAAGGATTCAGATGCTGACTTTACGAAAAACTGTATTTTCATTGATGAATCAGGGTTTCGTATCAATATGCGAAAGAATTACGCGTGGTCTAGAAAATCAGATTATGTTAGGGTACGTCTCTATTCAGCATGTCCTGATTCCTACTCTAAAAGAAACATCTTGTTGCTGTGCAACCCTTATTGGTTAACAGCAAAACAAGACAAATGATTTTAAGATATGTCCTTATTTTATGTTTCTATACTTTTTTGTATTTGAAAAACACAATGGTAAAGTACACATTTACCCTGCCTTACGCCGAAGAAATTTGCGGCTGCAGTTTGCCTTTAACTAGGCGCCCAGCTACGAGTGGGAAGCTGTCTTTTTCCTCAAACACAAGGAATAACAAAAGGGAGGCTTATTCTAACTTTTTTTCCTAGAGAAATACTTAATAAATACTTTGTTTGGATGCTTTCATAAAATGCTGCATACATTACAATAATGGTATACATAAACACACTTTCGGAAAATTTGATGGGTATTTGATACTTTTATAAATATATATAGCTAAAGATAAGCATTATAAACTGTTATTTTCTTTCACATGATCAGCTCCTTTTACAAAAGTCTCATTTTTCTATAGCTGAAAACATGCTCAATAAACCCTTTAAGAACGATCCTAATCTTAACACAAGTTGCTAAAATGAAGTATTAAATTATTTTTGTGGCCTTAATTGCATTTTCTGACAAATGTGATTACACGTTTATTAGGAGAAGCTCGTGATACTGACGAATATTCTTCGGTTCATAAAAAAAAAAGAGTATTCTTCGGTCAGAGTGAAAAGTGAAGACTTTGTCAAGTTCTTGAGTTGCTACTATTTAAACCCTCTTGATGTTATTTGCTCAATCACAAATGAATTGCAGCTTTCCCTGTTTGTCTATCTCAGTATAGGTACATTGCAAAATGAAAATGCACCTATTCGAGCTTTAAACGCAACGCAAACTACTTTGATATGTCATTACCAGTACATCATGGATAAAAAATAATATTTAGCATCGTCAATGCAACACTTTAACATACGTGCTTAAATGTTTATTTATTTTTGCAAAGAAATTGACAGAGATAAGCTATTTAATAATTATAATGATGAAAAATATCCATAATAAACTGCAATAACGTAATACATATATACATAAGGGATAACTGTGTTAAAAGAAAGGTAAAATATTTGAATTGAGAAGGAGATGGGCTGTTTAACGTTGAGTACTGTTTGAACTACTTCGGGGGCTGTCCACAACTTCTTTGGAATGTTTGCCTTCATTTAACCTTATGATGACTGGATTAATAACGCTTGATAACAAAGTCTCAGCTGATATCTGTTCGTTGTTTATCGTCACTTCTTGCAGCTGACTTCGGTGTTCTTTTTGAAGTTCTTCGATGCTATCCAAGGCCTCCCTCAATAACTCCTAAAAAAACTTGGTCAGTGACCATTACAGTTGAAATGAATTAGAAACCCTTATCTTACTGCCAAGTTTAAATGGAATCGAACATAGGAGATCAAATCATCAGCCATGCTGTTGATGTTTACAGGAATGGTGGCCTTTTACTCCTTTGTCATGATATAAACTCCAGGTTCCCGAAGTCATCATTGTCCAGCGTCTAACTGCGTGGCCTATTAAACCAAAATTATGTTGACTTCTATTGACTTATGCATCGAAAAGATATTACTATTATTATCATGAACATGAATGAAGTGAAATTCAATTTTTTTAAAAGATTCAAATGATCCGTGACTATATTTGCAGGCGAGAGTCTTCAATATGGCAAGAAGCCCAAATATGGCTTTGGTATGATCAAAGGCAACCTTGTCTTGGGTTGCTCGACCCAGAGCAGAAGAAACCTCAAGAAGCAAAAGCTCTTGCTTGTCAGCATTAATTCTTACTTTGCCATCTGCATAGTATTTGAAACGATTGTCAAGTAATCCTTGCTTGCTTAGTCGCTCAGTCATAGAAACTAACTCAGCTTCTCCGGGCATATAGTAATGTCATACTTCTTATTACGAAGCATACGAGAACATACTTGCAAACAGTGCTTTATCAAATTACTGTTGAGGCATGCCTCGGACTCAGACAAAGTATCACCCACATCGTCATAAATCTCTTCACCACTACAACATAAAAATGGTAATGTTGTCAGTAAAAATCTAGGATGACATTTTTGCAACTTACAATAACATAAAAAAGTCAACTAGTGCTTTCTTCTCAACTGCACTACCCTCGGCAGAATGTAAGGCTTTGATAGATTCCAGCATATGGTTACGATTGGTCTATTAATTGACAGATTAGTAGCTCTGATTATTATTTGAATCGTCTTTACATATACTGTTATTCTCTGTTATTCTCTTGGAGTGACCACCAGATCTTGTAAAGTTGATCAAACTGTGAAGTATGAAATAAAATAAAAAATAAAAAGAAGAGACCAGGAACTTTTATAACCAAAAAGGTTGCCTGTTTATTGTATAAGATAAAATAAAAAGATAAGGTGAACTGCTTGTATTGAATTTTTTTTTGAGAGAGAGTCTTGGATTTATATACTTTTTTTTTTGGATTTTTGTTGGCTTTCCTTTTCTTGAAATCAACGGTTGTTGATAAGTTAACCTCAGCTGTTAAATTAACTAAAGTTGTCAGAATTCAGTTCCACAGAGTTACCCTTTTCGGCATCTTTTGAGTTACAATACTTAGTGTCTGTAACATTAACCCTTTCATGGATTTTCTCGTGCGCGTAGAGTACACCGAAGTCTCTTGGCAAAAGAAAACTAACCAAAAAAAAGAGAGACAGGCGTTGCATCAATGACAGGCATTTTCAGTGCGGAGACTACCGAAAACTATTGTCGTGCATCAATTATGGCAACAATCAACTCTCTTTCTACTTCAAGGAAGTCCAAACGAAGAGTTTATTTGATTATGGGTTTTACACGACATGACAGATTTATGATGATCTGACAACTCACTTGCCTCGATTGCATGATCTTGTTACCTTTGGGGCTTTCAGTAAATTGATCACAGACGCTAACTTTGGACCTAGAACGTCGGGACGTGTGAATGGCAAGCCTGTTAAAGGCCGCCAACTTTAAAAATCAAGGACAATGTAGTGGGCAACATCAACGAAAGGACATCAGCCTTTTAGCAAGAACTGGATAATCGTGGCCCAAATTGCGCCTTGGTTGGATATGTTCGAAAGTCAATTACCAAAGAATCAGATGAAAATACGACAGGGTTGTTGCAACTGATGATCAACAAATTACAAAATCGTTGTTTTTGTTTCCGAATCTATGCTTCTACAAATAGTTCAGCATCCAACTCTATCATGGAAAGGGACTTCAACATGAACAAAAGAAACGCCAATATAATGGATAACCTAACTGGCTGTGACGGTAACGCACAGCAGGCGATACATTTTCTGACACATACCACCAAACATGTCCAACTCTGCGTTATATCTTATGCTGGCGAAGCATGTATGGCATATTTTTTCATAAGTGATCCAAACCCCTTCAGTACTGTTTGTATGATACGATCAGCAAATAAATAATTTGTCAAGATATTGCATTGTCGATGTAATTGCTCATATTGCATAGTTTACAGTAAAATAAAAAACACAAAAATAGAATAAAGTCACCACTAATTCATTTATGTTATCAAAGTCAGTGATGCCACCAAGAGAAAACTGTTCAGTGTCGACTGGTTCATTTCCACTTTCATTGTAGACATTACCTCTTCCATTTTCTAGAGTAAACTTAAGGTTCATTTTTTTTGTTGTAGGAATCAGAAAAGCTTTAAATTTGTGCAGAGATTATGAAACTCTGCATTCTTATATTTTTATGTGTGCAAAGATTTTTTGTATTTGTGCAACTTATTTCCGGAAATGGTGTACTATGGGTCTTGTTTGTCAATAGCTTCTCTTGGTTGAGTAGATAGTCTTTTTGTAGTCATGTCAAATAACGCATTGCTAGGGTTCATGCTTTTTCTTTATTATGGAAAAGTAAAAAGAGAGAAAGTAGAACCTACGCTTAGGCATAAGGCGGAAAATTGTTTTTACTGATAAATCATAAAAGTGGGCTGCTTTTGAAATTTACAGATAAAATAGTGATGCATCAGATAAAGATGCTTCATTATTATTGTGCTTTTCCCTGCAGTATCAAATCTCTATATAGTAATATGTTCAACGCACAAATATAGCAGCTGTGTGGCGCCGATCCATTCTATGAACCCTGGCTCTTTTATCATTAAAAGGCTCTCTTTTTTTTTTTTAATAAAGACAAACTGGTATATATTTAGCCTGAAAGTAAAAGTATATGGCTTGGGATTTTATCATAATACACGCCCTTTTGTCTTTATTTATCATTTCCCCCTCACAGATTAACTATTTTGAAACGTATGGGTTGCGGGCAACGGAATAGATCTTATGCAAAGATTTTGATCAAGATTATAATCGCGGAGTGTGAATAAGATGGTAAATTGATTATTTTTACAATATCGGATATACAATCAAAAAAATTTTCTTTACCAGATCCTTCTGTTATCAGATTTTCTCACCTTTCTTTTATTTTAAATTCGAAATGATGGAAGCTTTGACTCCTGTGAAATCACCTACTTTGCCTAAAAAAATGGAAACCGTATCAGCTACTGAATGCGCTAACTGCGGTACAACTACGACTCCTCTCTGGAGAAGAGGTCCAAATGGTGAAACAATATGTAACGCTTGTGGTCTTTATCTCAAAGCAAGAAATACATTAAGACCTCCTAGTTTAAAAAGGACAAACAAAAAGGAAAAGGCGGTTAATGACTGTGGTGGTGGTACATGCCCTGGTGGTGGTCAATGTAATGGTACAGGTGGTTCTAGCTCTTGTGCTGGTTGCCCTGCTTTTAATCAGCATCAAGTGAACCGGCAAGCACTTATTTGTGCAAATTGTAGAACTACGACTACCCCACTCTGGAGAAGGGATGAAGCAGGGAATACTATCTGTAATGCTTGTGGTCTTTACTATAAACTTCATAATGTTCATAGACCTGTTAGTATGAAACGAAGTGTCATCAAACGAAGAAAAAGAATCATCATCTCTCAAGGAAGTGATGCAGAAGAAGATGACGACAATGAATCAAATATTCCCGAAGATGAAAACAACGATATAAAGCGCTTCAAGAAAAATGCCGAAGTTCCAGAAATTGAAGATTATGTCGTAAAGAAGAAGACCCCTACGGATACCAATATAGACAGAATTAATTTCACTCCCCCCATGGAAGATACACATCGTGACACTGCTAGTACGCTTTTACCCTTTGAACAGCTTAGAAATCAAGAATTCAACAACAACAATAATAATAATAATAATAACATGGACCGCAGTTCTTCATTATTACCCCCTATATCATCTGAACGCAAGTCTTACAAGCTGGAATCATTATTTCACAGAGAATCATCAGCAAATGTTCTACCATCAATATCCCTTCCTCCTTTATCGTCTTCGCCTCCTTTACCTCCATCATCTACTCCTCAACAAAATAAATCTCAACAACATCAACCTCAACAACAGCATCGCCTTACTATGTCATTATCACCACCATTACCACCTTCTATTCATCGACAGCCTCTTTCTGTTCGTTCACCTAGTCCGATGGAACAAAGGGGATATGAATTAGCAGAGTTTGATATGGCATTAGACAAGCTAGAACATTTAAGAAGACAAGTTAGACCAGAGCAAGCTTATGCGCTATCTCAATTAACAAATGCGCTTACCGATTTAGCTACAAAGGCAGAAGTCATCTTATCGTTAGACTCATTATCTTATAGCCAATAATTCATCTATTCCCCCCCCCCTCTTTGTTTTTCTCCCTGATACTCTTTGTTCTTTTAATAACTTGTAAATATACATGACCATCTCTCTCCTTTCTCTTTTTTTAAAGTATTAGCATTTTGTTGACAAATAAGGGGGAAGAAGCCATATGCTGCAAGTCATTTATATCAACTGAAGCACACATCAAGTTGACAGTTCAGAGATGCATAAAAAATAAGCTCATCAAAGATTATTCAGGAGCTTGCATGCCATCTAAATTACATATATTATTACAAATGAGCCCATAAAGTAAATCTTTTATATGCACTTTTTTCAGAAATTACTAGCACACATTACAAGGTCAATAACAATTAGTGCTTTAGTTGATTTCTATGTCTTCTTTGTTGTTTAAAAGATAATGTGTTATAATATAAAATGAACTTGGTATTTCTAATATACATAAAATAAATGTGGTCAGCACTGGTAAATGACACGTAATTGAACAAGTTGCTAGAGGCTTCATATAAATAGTCTGATCTTTTTTTTCTTTTCTTTTCTTCTTTGGGCCAGAAAGTAAGACCAGCTATTCCCAGCTAGCTCTAAGGTATGCTATATTCTTTACTCTTGTAAGAACTAATATGTAGTATTATAGATGACAATCGAAGCTAACCCGAGTAGCTTGCTTCTTACCAAACTTTGGTCCCATCCGTTCTCTTTCTTGCTCACTCTCTTGGTTTCTCTTTGCTTGCTTCTTTTTTTCTCTACTTTCTCCGGGCTGGTTATCGCCAGCCCTATTTAATGCACTTCGAGTAATGTATTAATAACCTCTTTTTTTCTCTTATAAATCCTCTTCTTTATAATACAAGTATTTAATATCAATGTAAATAAATAACTGAAATACTAATCATTTCTTTTGCTTCTGATGAACTCTCTTTTATCATTATTTATTGTCTCATTTGTTGTCTGAGTTATCATTTTTTTTTTATCAGTGTGCGAATAATTTCTGAATAAAGTGTAAAAGAATACTACACATGCAGAAGCGGTAGGCGGGAAGCTTGTCTTTAGCAATGAAAAATCCCAAAAATAGTTTTAAGGAGTAACACAAACAGAAATAGAAATCCGGAACCAAATTGGAACCCAATACAAGAGAGTGTGTGTATTTATTATTTTACAAGACGGGTAAATCAGGCAGTAGACCCCTCTTCTTGGGACATCTTACTGGCTTAAAACTGATATTAAGTACACCAATGTTCAAATTTCCTTTTGACAGCAACTTGAATGCTTTAGGTGTCAGATCAATAGCATTTCCGAGTTTGCAGCCTGCACACTTGTCCACAATCTTGACAATAATCTTTAGTTTTGGGTGGTCGTTGTTGGTGATTTGCATACACTTGTAACACTGTTCGAATCCTCGCATAGCCTATAATATTTTTAGTATATGTAACGTGTGTATGTGTGTGTCTAGATTACTATGTGTTTATTACCATGGCTCCGATCATATCTCTAACAGAGGCACTCCATGGCCTCAGTCCTTTTCGACCATAGCATGCTGCGTTTTTCAGTCCATCGCCCGTGTACCAGGTTCCTCGACCTCTTTTATCCAGTAATTTGTTCATATCCATGACACGAGCAGTGCCTCTTTTTCCATGTATACCAGCCGCTGCTTGCAGTGTCATGGCAACCAGAATAACGAAACATAATATCATCGACTTCATATTGACTTAAATGAATGTAATGGGGAAAAAGAAAGATAAACAGTAAATAGTAAAAAAGGAACCTTTTTTTATATCTGTGTTTATAATCGTGCATGCAGAAAAATAGAATATATTAGCTTTATATACACGCATATCGTTTCAAGGAGGTTCAAGGACATCTCTTTGTTTCCCCCTTCCTTTTATATCTTGCTCACTCGTGTGGAAGCTTCATGTACACAAGCGAAACTTGTTATTGTAAGAAAATAAAGAAAAAGGGAGAAAATAGATTGCTAACCTATCTCTTGAGGTTTTTTTTGTGAAATGAAAACTTTGCCACATAATCAAACAAGAAGAAAAAAAGGAGAAGAATGACGATACTATCTCATAATACAATATAGTATCAAAAGTGCGCCTTTATATATATATGGCTCAAAAGCTTCTTTATATCAATTTATCCCTTGGCACAATACATCTCTTACACAAGTATTATGAATAAATAGCTTACACTGGCCGTAATAGTAGCAATAAGAATTCGCTTCCCTCCTTAAAGAATAAATTAATTTGCAAGTAGTCGATAGATGTCTGCTACTCAATCAAGCAAAATGAACAAGAAAGAAACGAGTAAGGGGTGATGTACTACCATCCATATGTACAAGGAAGAAAGGTAAATCTGCAATACATAGTAAAAAGGTCACCTCCCATTACCACAGACAGAGGTAAGCACTTTTCAGACGCATATATGCAAGACCACTGGTGGCTCTAAAGTTTAATATCGTCTTTATTTTTTTACAATTGGCATTTTCCTTTTCCCGTTTGTAGATAAACCTATTTGCTCCCTTGCTGGTTCTGGACTCTTGATGTTCATTTCATTACATTTCCTTAACGCAATACTCAATCGTAACATGAGCTGATATCCGAATGGGTCTTTTGTATGCGACATGGCAATTTCCCAAACTTCTTTACTTTTTGCATAATCACTTAATCCCCAACTAGTTACACCTGCCTCTAACGAGAAGAATAGTCAGCTACTTTCCATACACGCATCATCCTCTTACCCCAATAGACAAAGGGTATTACCCATGCTTCTGTCTTTAGATGCTCCAAATTATCTACAATCCAGTTGATGTGCGCGATACTCTGATCATACTTTTTTAAAGCATTAAAGATGGAAGCCTTGATGAGCAACAGCAAAATTCTTTGATCGTAATAATCTGGCAAGTCGACACTAGGTGCAATTTGTTTGGCACGTATGTTGTATTCTAATTTCTCACGTTCATAAATCGACTCGAGTGTGCTTTGGACAAGACCAAGACATTTTTCTAATGTAGTATCATCCATTTGTTCAAACGCAGTACAAATGAGCAAGAGTTCGAGTCCAGGTAGGTAGTAGTTTATATCCTGGTATCCTTTCTTTTGAAAGGCCTCTACTTTTTGAAGAGCGTAGGCTTCCAGAGAGGATGGTCTGTTTTTGATTTTCATGTCTGGTATCTGTGCCAACGACAGTATGCCCTTTGTTCGTTCTCCCCGCATTACCTGACAGGCTCCTATCATATATTGATAAAATACAGATGGGCCCGCGTTTTGGAGCTCTTTAAAATATTTAGCAGCAGACTTCCAATCAAGTTGCAAGATATGATTCATGGCAATCTCGTACGTCGTTGTCTGCTTTAGAGAACTATGAGCCCATTCTTCTGTGCAGGACGATAGAGCGCCCCGGAACGACTGCGTGGATAGCTGCAAATTTTTTGCAATACGAGAGAGTTTACCAGCAGTGTAGAAAAAGATGCAAGACTTGGGATGCTTCTTTTGCGCTTCGGTTAGACACTCGAGGGCAGGTTCCACGAGTTCTTGAGTATATATTTGAGATGTTTGGCTGCAGAGGATCAGATAATAACATAGTAATCTGTAAAATATAAAGTGTTATGCGACTTGTTTCTGCGTAATTGCGCACTTTACATTAAAGATGCAAAAGGTGATTTTATGCATTTCGATTCTATGCAAATCTTTAATAGAGCAAAGCCAAGTTGTTGATTGCAAGTAAAATCATGAATCCAAAATGGCTTGGATAGATAGGGAGGAAAGCAGGATACAAGTAAATGTAATGATCCGAGACCAAAGTACAAAGCAGCAACGGTATCACGATCCATATGTTTGGTGTACGCTTGGCCCATTTTCTTATATTCTTGCCAAACGATAGTATAGTTGTTATATGCTATTTATTCCCTTTTTTCTTAGCTAAAGGGAATAAAAGGGTGTGTCTTTGGCTCTTACCTTGATGTAAACTCGAACTGCAGTTTGTCAATTCAAGTGCGTTCTCTTGAAGGATTTGTAATGCTCCTCTCAATAAACAAGCCTCCGCTTTGATTACATAGGCTCTTAATGTACCATTTGCCATGAATAGTGACTCGATGTCGGTTACTTCTCTTTTAGAGCATGTCTGTGGACTTGATGGAAGCCCAGTTTGATTTGGCACGATAAGTGAAGAAAAGTAGTTGGAAATGCTATATCCCTTCTTGACGCCTTTTGCATTTATTTGACATGTGGCAACCTTTTCAGCTGCCTTTAGCACACTTAGTGCTAGATTGGTATCATTTTTGTCACGGGTCTATAGTTAGCAACGTATATAAGCTTCTCTCTAGTAGATGGGTCTATTATGCCCTTACCATGATAGCTTTTATAAAAGTCATCAAGCCAAGTCCATTTGCATACAACGGATCACTGCCAAGAGGGAATAAGAATATTATTTATTAAACATTGCGCTGACGCACCTGTCTATCTTGTGTTGAAATATAGATTTGGCTTCCATAAATTGATTATTAAACAAGCATTCAATTGCCTTTCTTATATACTCGTCTATACTATGTTGAGTAAATACGTTTTATAGACTTTTTTGATGCTTGCCTGCTTCCTCTTGCTCACGTGGGCCCATTCGATTAGGTGGAAGTTCTTTTGGTTGGCGTTGAGCATAACTGGAGATACTCATATCAGATTCACCTGGAGTTTGATGTATTGGGATGGTTATTTTGTCAATCACACTTAGCCTATGAATCATTTTTTCCATTTCAGGAAAACTCGATTGCTCCTGATCCATCGTGTTGTTTGTATCTGTATTGCCAATTGATGTAGACCGTTGGGTTGTTACTTTATAATGATTATCGTTCATTGAACTTTAGTAAAAGAAAAGAGAGAAGAGTGTAGACAAAGATAGGGGGCACTCTTTTATAGTCTCCTTTATTTTTTATTCTTAGCCTCTCCCCCCCTAATTTATTAAACACTAGATATTGTCTTTTATTTTGACATGTATCATTCAGTATTTTTGTTCATAAATAGTACATTGGACAAGTCATTTATATGTATACATATTTATATATATATATAGAATTGACTTATGACATTCTTATATGCCAAAAAAGCTAATCTCGTATCCAACAAAGTTGTACTGTACAACCGCAATGTATATGTTATTGTCGCGAGGCAGTGATATGCCTGTGATTATTTACCTACTATAGTTGATATACAGTCTTTCCGGAAAGCAAATTCGCCTGTGATCGAAAATAAATGCACCCAATGGTGAGAACAAAATTCATGTTGTATGAAATGTAAATTCGCCGTTACCAAGAATATTTTCGTAATATCAGCCTTGACATCCATGGAGATACTGTATTTCCAAATTTAGATGTCGTATTGAAACCGTTGCAATGTTATCAGAATAATAACAAATACAAAAAGAATATGGCTCACTATTCCCTTTGACAGTAATATTAATAGGTGGGCTGTCTTAGAGTTGAAATTAATTTAATATTAGAAATCGCCCTCTTTAGTCTCCTTGTAAAAGTTTAAATTCTTTCCATGAAATTAGAAGAGCATGTAGTCATATTTGGCAATGTATATTCTTGAATGGTCACGAAGCAGATTGCTTCTATTTGACATGATTTCTTTGTCCTAGGTGCCTGATCCTGAAAACTGTTTGAAAGAAAAACATATAAAAACCCATTTTAATCGAGTCCTTTTTTTGCTTCTTTACAGCAGTTATCAAATGTCCCTCTGAGTGTTCAAAGATTCACCAATCAAAACTAGCCTGTCCTCATGGTCCTTGCTCTGACTCGCTTGTCCCGCCCTCTTTGCTCTCTGGCGTGTATCTGGAACATTCTCCAATAGTCTCTTCTGACGCCCTGGGTTCTCTCTATCCTCCGTTCCTTTTTTTTTTTTGTTTAAACTTTCCTGGGTAGTTATCGCTACCCTCCCCAGAATGCACCTTGGTGGTAAGTAAAACTAATATTAGGATATGTGCTCTAATACTAACATACTTTTTCTCTCTTTTTCTACATATACTCATTATCTCTCTCTCTCTTTTGACATGATGTCGTTTTATTCAAATGTATTTTTCTTTGTCGTCTTTTTACGTATATAATTTTTTTATTTCACGACAATATTTTATAAAATTAACGTCAATAGTTAATAAAAATACAGTATACTGATTTAGCCCGTCATGGTTGAGATAGATGAACTGGTCGGTTTGTAAATAGGATGCAGATAGATTATACCATACTGTTGGTTGCAAAAAAGATTTGAAAGACGTAAAGACTTATGAAAAGGGGCTATCCAATTTTCTTTTAACCTTTTGCTACTGAGAACACAAATAGTTTGTGGATGCTGTTCATTTTTTGTGCTTATGGAGTGTGCAATGTCTGTGTTGTAAAAAAAAAAAAAATGGATCGTCGAGCATCATGTGAGCTGGAGGATCACAAATACAGTAGATCAAACTGATTTAATGTCTCAGACGTTTATAATCATTTTGGTCAAACTAGACTCCTCTTTCTGAGCAATTTAACCTCACACACAAAATGCCCATCACATCATTCAAAAAAGTGAGTAGTATTTCACTTATATATCTAGGAATGAGGATGAAGACTGGCTGAGTAATTTTTCAACTTTGTTAACGTCAACACTAAAAAGATGTGACACTTTTCCATCAAACGCACTTTCGCAGTTAAGGTACGTTCGATCAAGTTGCACAAGATCATCCTTGAATACCTCTTGGTGATTTACTATTGAACAATAGAATAGCAGAATACGCACCAAAAGAAGTACTGAATCAAAGAATGAATCTTTTTCTATGAATAGATGTAATGCAATACCGTAGAGTAAACCTTTGATAGGGAATCAAGTGAAATCATGGGCCGTGAGAAACCGCTCTACGGAAATTTAATTATGCGGTTTAAGCTTGTGTCGCGCTCGCATTATTTTCCCCACAATATAAATTTATCCTTTTCCCTCTTATCTTTTCCTTTTTTTTTCACATACTAAAAAAACAAAACATCATGACAGTTGCAATGCCACAGAAGCCCTTTAATGAACCATCAGGAGGAATAACATTCAAGTATCAAGATGAATTACCCAGGTTACCTATTCCTGACCTGGAATCTACTTTACAAAAATATCTTACTGTACTGAAACCACTTCAGGTAAATATATGGAAAAAAGAAAAGGCTACAGTCAGTTGACTATGTGACATAGACATCCAGTGAGCATGAGCAAACAAAAGCCGCAGTTAAGGATTTCTTGGAGAACGAAGGACCTGAACTTCAAAAGAAGCTACAAACGTATGCGACAAACAAACATTCATATATCGAAGAGTTTTGGTAAGTGACATGGTAGCAAGGGTAGTGTATGTATTTATGTTATACCATAGGTATGACTCGTACCTTCATTACACCGATTCCGTCGTTCTCAATCTGAACCCATTCTTCTTGCTGGAAGACGATCCTACGCCTCTTCGTAACGATCAAATTGTAAGAGCCTCGTCCCTGATCTACTCTACCATCATTTTTATCGAAGCACTGCGCAACAAGACACTTGAACCAGACGTTTTCCGTGGAACGCCCTTATGCATGTCTCAATTTAGCCGATTATTTGCAACAGCTCGTGTACCTACCGAAAACGGATGCTATATTGCAACTGAAGAAGATGCTCGCCATATCGTGGTCATGGCACAAAGTCAGTTTTATCACTTTGAAGTGTTTGATGCAGAGGGCAAAATCATCCTAAGCGAGAAACAGATCGCAGCCAATCTGCGTGCTATCGTCAAGGATGCTGCGGAGACACCAGCATCGTCTATTGCCGAACGAGCCATGGGAGTCTTGACGACAGAGAATCGTTTAAATTGGGCGAGATTGAGAGACGAGTTACAGTCTGACGAAACCAACGCAGAAGCGCTCAAGGTGGTTGATCAGGCCTTATTTATTGTTTGTTTAGATCATGTTGAGCCAGCTGATACGAATGAATTGAGCACAAATATGTTGTGTGGTACTTATAAATTGGTGGATGGTATGCAGGTTGGAACGTGTACCAATCGATGGTATGATAAACTTCAGGTATGTTTCTTTATAAAAATGAATATAGAAAGAAAGGTTAATAGAAGAGGGTAGATTATTGTATGTAAAAATGGTAGTGCAGGCATTAATTTTGAGCATACAGGTAAAGAGCGAACTGATGACACACAAACAAGACGCTAATTTTTCAACTTTAGGCGTGGATGGTCATACTGTGCTTCGTTTTGTATCCGACATTTATACTGAGACAATCTTACGATTTGCTAAAACGATCAACAGCCAAACAAAATCCATATTTCACTCTTACAACACCAAAAAAGATGGCGAACAGCGTAGAGAGAGTTCAGATAGTCTGGTGATCGACATTAATCCTAGACGTATCGAATGGAAGATGACAGACACGTTAAGACTGGGCATCAAGTTTGCAGAGACAAGAATCAGTGATTTGATTCTTCAAAATGAAGTCAAAGTGCTAGAGTTTAACAAGTATGGTAAATACTTTATTACAGACATGAAGATGAGTCCTGATGCCTTTGTGCAGGTAAGCTATATATAAACCTTATAAATAAACATGCATAACAAACTTAAATAGATGGCATTTCAAGCGGCATATTATGGGCTCTATGGCAAATGCGAATGCACCTACGAACCTGCAATGACCAAGACATTCTATCACGGAAGAACAGAAGCCATTCGTAGCGTGTCAGATGCATCTGTTGATTTTGTGACCACGTATTATTCCAAAACTGCACCTGATCAAGAAAAGTTAAATAAGCTAAGACAAGCCCTTAAATACCATACGAAGTTGACCAAGGAATGTTCTATGGGCCTAGGCCAAGACAGGCATCTGTATGCACTTGAATGCGTTTGGGACAGGCTGCATAAAGATGAAAAGAAGCCCAAGTTGTTTACAGATAAAGGGTGGAAGGTTCTGAACCACACTGTCATCAGTACATCCAATTGTGGTAATCCTGCACTTCGATTATTTGGATTTGGACCTGTTGTCGCTGATGGATTTGGCATCGGTTACATTATAAAAGAAGATGGTATCGCATTCGTTGCTTCCTCTAAACATAGACAGACCCAGCGATTCTTGGACACTTTGAAGGGCTACTTGCTGGATATTCAGAAATTGTTGTTGAATGAAAAGTATCCAAGTGGCATTTCCTCAAGACAGAGAGTATTAGAATTAGAAGAAACAGAAGAACTGAATGGTGGTTACAGTTACTTTGACAACGGTAACCATAGTAGCGGTAGTGAATCAAGTATAAACAGAAAGAAAATTGGAAAAAGATTGATTTTGCATGAGACAGATTAAATAAAATGTTTTTTATTTTAAATGATTGAGTTTACCAGAAGATAATAAGCTTTCTCTACCACTTTGGATGGTAAGGACATTATCATCATTATTTGGTATATTTAAATAAGGCTGATTGAATTGATTTAATAACCAATCATCCACAGATGCAGGCATAACTAAAGCGGGCATAGTATTTACAGTATCACTTGGAATTGAAATTGAATTGTATGTCATAGGATGCTGTTGTTGTAGTTGTTGTTGTTGTAATTGTTGTTGTTTTAGGGCCTTTTTTAATTGCTTTTGCTTAAGTTTTTGTTGTAATAGCAACAATCTTTCCTTGAGGATCTTGTTCCTTTTTTCTAATTGCTTAATATAATCCACCGATTTGAACAGAATTGTACTCTTTGAATTATTGATATTCTTTAATGTTGGAATCAATTCTGTTAATTCTCTGAATCCGCTTCTAATCATGTTACGTCTCTTTTGCTCTGATGCAATATGGTTTGCTCTCTTTTGATCATCCGATAATAGGTCCCTATGACGCTTCTTGGCTAGGGTAACACTATTATTATCAATCATCTCATGGTTCTATTTAAATAGGAAGTGAGTGTGGGAAAATTGCGGACCAATAATCAATCAGCTTACCTCCTCCTCTTGAATCGCCAATTCTTTCTGTTGCTTTTCAAGCGCATCTTGAGTTAATAATAAGGAAGTAGATGATTGAAAATCAAAGCCTATGAAAAAATAAGTAAAACATATTAATAAAATATAACTTAGAGTTACCCTCATCTGGCTCAGGTAGTAGTAAATCATCAAAGGCGCTCGAGACGGAATCCGCCTTTCCTGTATAAAGTGATGGAACAGATTCCCAAAGGGACGAGCTACTACTACCGGTACTTGAAACACTTGAAGCTTTATGGGATGGATGATAGTCCATATTGTTTTGTTGGCAATAACACCAAAAGGAATTGAATTAACAAAGTTCTTGCTTTTCTTTATAAATAAAACCCAATCTTGATTTTCCTTTAGAATAAACTTTGTATCTTTGGAAGCATCAAAGTAGAAAGAGAAAAAAAAAAAGAGAGAAGAAAGGAGAAAAAGGAACTATTTTGTAAATAGAAACTAAGGTATTTATGTCTTCCAAATTTGGTAGACCCCAGACTATAGAACACTTCCTCAAGCCCTTTAAACCCTTCAGATTCTTCACCCGGTTTTCTCCGCTTTAAAGTTCATTTAACCATGTGAAATAAACATTGATTGGCCCTGACTATAAAATTTCCCCACATTTTACAACTTGCAATTTCCCCGTATTCATTAAGCGGCTTATAATTAAAATGACTCAATACTTTTTTCCATGGTTGTCCCACAGTCATTTCAGTAAGTGAATTTGAGGCTTATTTTTACTTGTCGTCATTCACACAATTCTTCACTACTTCTTCCACGTTCAACAACAGTGGAAGCTATTCAACATCACATGATGTAAGTCTAGTGCTCTCGTTCTCCAAAAATAATAATATTGCCAAAGTTTATCAGTAAGTAGCTTTACGCCTACGCTGTTGCAAGAGATCACTAGCAAGTGTCATCGTGATACGTTCAATTTTCAGATTTCTTCACAAACCAAATCGGTTATCCAACAATTCGTTGATGAAGAAATGGAGAGAAACGCGTGCAAAAATTAAATTGTTGACTCTTTCCGAGGAAGCAACTGTAAATGGGCGCGGTGTTATTAATACTATTATTGCGTTGCTGTCGTATATACATATATCCGGTTGTGATATGAAGCCCCTTTCTCAAAGGCGCATCTAACAGTAAGGTATATCCATCGTCAAAAATGCCAACAAACGTTGCATACTGTCCGAATATTGTGGTCAACACCAGTACACCAATTGCACATGAGACGAACTCAAGCCACACACCGATACGTCTTACAACCTTTTGCGATTGACAAAGCCAGCTTGAAAAATGTATCACTTTTTTCCTTGTACATTTACAGAGCTCGTTCGGATGTCAATACCAACTAATAAGTTAGATCTTTTGAATTTAATTGGAGTTGATAATGAAATAGCTTCTTTTTTTTTAGGACTAAAACTTCACCACGCACTAGGGATACTAAAATCGCACTAGATAGCATGTTAAATTATAAATAGGGAGCATGCAGTGGTCCCTTTTTCTTATTTGATTGTTGCCAGTAACTACTCTGTAGTAAAGTGATTATCTTTGGTGAGAGCAAAACACAAATTATTGTGCCAATTTTATGAGTAAGCCTAAATTACCAAACTCTATCTTTTTTTTTTCTCGCTTTGTGGTGGGGGTATGACATTACGACTAGAGACCTGTTACTCTTGTTTGCATCATGTTTAATGAAAGAGTATTAGCCCTAAGAAGGCAATTCACAAGATATCTGCTTTGGTAATACTCTTGGAGCGTGTAACATGATACAAATAGTCATCGATTCTTGCGATCACACATAGCAGTAATGACGTTCTGGTTCATTATGAATCATGGTATTCAATGGCTCATATCTTACGTCGCTTCGATGAGTGAATTAGAATATGAAAATGACTCAAACCGTGTCTTCTATTTATAGATCTGTAAAGGGAGGTAAGGGGAAGAAGGGCTATACCAAAAGTATGGTGGTCCCATGCCCTAGTACTTGCTCTAGTTGCTTGATTTCCCGTCATCGAACAATCACAGGAACAGTCGTGTCTAGAAAGGTCTAAAAGAAGAGAATACTACAGGTTTTATATATACTTCATTTTTTATTGTCTTGCATACATGAAGGGGACTTTGCTTTATTTTCAAGGTCGATCATTGGGAATGATGAGGCTTGTATCTTTTTCCCGCTTTACCCAATTGAAAGGACTAAGACTGCACACAGCTGGCTAGAATGATGCAATTTTTCTTGTGGGAACGAGTCTTCCT